AACGGCGACGGGAACGAGAAAGGCCAAAAAAAAAATCAATAGGTTAAGTAAGCAAAAAAAAAACAAACAAACAAACAACAACAACAACAATAACAACTTTGCACGTGCAGCACACTTTTTTGTACATTTATATGGAGCTGTTTTGCACGACTACAACGTGAAACTACATAACTATCTTATGAAGGAAATGTCGTATGTGCTCACCAAAGGTTTTGCTGCTTGTGTTCCTGTTCGTTTTTTTTCACTGCGGCGTCTATTTTCACCTTGCTGCCCGTTAGCATTTCTCATTTTCTCACCACCAATTTTCATGTTTTTCTTTCAACAAAATTCGTCTCCTCTGTTTTTTAGCTCTTTCTCTGTTATCCACGTCAGTAAAGACATTAAAATTTAGTCGGACTCGACCCAGTTTGTTATTGTCGTTTTCTCTCTAAAAATTCCGCATGGTTATGCCCCCTCGTGTTGTATTTAGGTTGCCAGACCTGTAAATTGACTTATTTTACATTGGTATGTCTGTGGTGTGGGCGGGCGTGTGTATGATCACGTGATTACCAAAATTTCTTAGATGCTTAGATTAACAAATTTTCTTACCCATGGTGCTCGGCTGCATGCGCTCCGCGCGCGCAAGAGCTCTTATATAAATTATCTTGCCTAGTCCCTTTACGGCGTTTTCCCAAGCCTTCTCGGCCAGTTGCCTTCGGTGACGTATCCGAGGCGAACGCGCGGGAAGCGCCTACACAAAAACAGAATGCGCATGCGTGCGTTGCCTTTTGAAAATGTCGGACTTTCTGGAGCGCAAGACGTTGTAAACAGCAGGCAGTTATTGATAATTGAAAAAACCCTTGTAGATATTTGCGAAATAGTTTGTAGATCGACTTTTGTCGACTTTGAAAAGCCATCAGAATTTACATTCATACTCAGTCCTGTGAAGGTTGATTTCTGCTCCTTCAATCTTATCATTCGACTTCTCATTCCAACTAAATATGTTTCGCGCTAATTTTCAAAGTATTCACTTCAAAAAGGATACTTCATTGACACCGTGTGTAATAAACTTAAAGCATGTAGAGTGCAAATCTTAAATAATCAGAAAAAATTACCCTTTCACATAAAATTCATTATCTGCGAATCGAAAATTCTTAAAAACTTCGCTGCTTGGTTGTGTTTCAAAACAGGCAAAAAGCTCGGCCGTAAAGAAAAACCTCAAATTCCTCGAAGGACAATTTTGTAATGAGAAGCCTTCCTCTGTCCACTGAAAAAAAAAACTGGCTGAACATTCTTTTGAACACTCCCTTCCCATTTGTGTCTTTTAACGGTACATTTTTAACCTTGAAATGCGAAACTTTGGTCTCGAAACCCATCGCATGAGTTTTTTCACTTTTGCATCACTTCTGAGAATTTTTGTCTAGGCCTCACTTCTTCGCTCTGACCACGTGACTCGAAACGCACTAGCAGCGAGGAATAATGAGGCCTAGGGACTATGCAATAAATTTATTTATCTGTTACTCTATTAATACATACTAGCTTTACAGTGACAAAGATCTCTGTCTTCAGAGTAGTAGATTATCAAGTAGTTTAACTAGATAGTTTTTATCTAGTGAATAAGTATAACCAAAACTGTCAGAATTTTAAAAGACACTGCAGAAAGCAATGCGAAAATAATTAGCCAGATATGATCATTTAATAATAAAATAACCTTGATAGCTTGTATATACTTTACATCTAAATGCATAAGTTATAAACCTCTAAACCCTTGGGGTTCAGGGGAAGGGTGCAACTTGAATTTTGAGCATACCCTCAATATTACAGCGAAATTCGTTGTATTGCGCCGCACCCTGAGAACTTCGGAGGGATTTAGGGTTTTTCTGTTCCGTCAATCATTTGAGTGAAGGCGGGGTTAATGCAAATCAAAATGTAACTTGCTCGCCCAGCTTGCATTGGCCTGGCTGAGAATGACTCTAGACTGCCCACGAATAGCGAAACAAAAAATCAAGGTAAGTCGCGATGGTGAGTGGAATTTTTGTCGAAGGAAGGAGGCAGACGTGACAAGAATAAAAAAGATCAGAAAATCTGCGAAGCAAACTTAATAAGTCGATTATTGCCCGAAACAGGACGATCACAAAGCAACGCCCTTGAAACACGAAACAAACAAATGGATCGAAAGCCACCAATCACGAATCACAAACGAGGACCTTTTGAGCTCGTGCAAGTAAACATGTGTTTCCTAAGAGGTCCAATCCAAGAGGATTGACGGAATAGTAAAACCCCAAATTCCTTCGAATTTTGCAAAACGCACAGCGCGATACAACGACTTGCACTGTAAAATTGAATAATTCTAAAACCGTTGAAGCTGTGACAAACTTAGCATAGCTAAAAAATAAAAAAGTAAAAATAAAAAATTCCCGGAAGTTACATCAACATTTCCGGAAACCGAGATTTATTACAGCCAAAAGTTTAGCAAAAATTTGTTACCTTTTTTCTACTAAAAAAAGTATTTTATTTTAGATTTTTATAGTACTTTACAATTTATTTAGCATTTTTAGTGGAAAAAATTTTATATGTGAGTTCATCCAATGTATTAAACAATTTGTTGTCATAATGACGTCATTTCGCCTTTGCAACAATAAAAATATAGGAGGATTTTAAAACGGTGATAACATTATGCAGGATCATAATGTTGTGTAAATTTGGTGGCTTTAAATTGCGGTTTTAAAGTTATAGAGGATGATCTCCAAGCTCCCCTTTCCCACCACGGTTCCAGGAAACCCAAAAAAGCCCATTCTGAATGGGGTTAAAAAGACGCCAAACGAGCTAATTAAAAATGCATGGATGAATTTAAGTCCACAACAATATGCTAATCTCTTTAACTGTTTTAATTTATCGCAGAGAAAGTCCTCTTACATTGCTTCAAATCTCCTAGTTCAGTCGATGACCTTCATGGGAACAGGTAAGATGGTGTCTGCCATTGTTTTACAATTATCAAATAAATAATTTAAAGGTGTTTTGACAGCTAGGCTTTGCTTTGTTAATTATGTTGTGTGACCACGAAGAAAGCTTTGTTACCAGTTTCGTATCATCAGATATATAAACTGAGAATGAATTGCAATTTAGATCCATATATATATATAAAATCAAATTTAAGTATATAAATATTTTGGTGTTTTTATTTATTTTTTCAATGATTTATTTTCTATAGATACGCATAAGAAGGAAGCTATTCGAGACAGGTTCCTTGGGGCTCTAAAGGCTACAGACTCGGTCACCGAGGAAGGCAATCCTGCGAGGAAAAAAAGTTTCGCGAGGCACTTTATCAGCGCCCTTTTTGCTCAAGATGAGGAGGAGAAAATTAACGGAAACGATGCCTCTCCTTCTGTAAACGAGGCAGAGATGGGAACAGTTTCCAAGGGCTTAGAGGTAAATTCATCTCCTTCTTCGGAAACAAGGACCCAAAATGATGACGAAGTGTTAAATGATGTCAAACAATTACCACAAGAACGGAAAATAAGCGTTCTCTTGAGCATTGTTTACGGTCTGGTGGGGTTAGACACCGATAGAGATGGACAAGTATCCGAGAAAGTCACCGTCGAAACGTCAGGGGAATGTAATGGAAATAAAAGGCCCTTTTCGTGTACAGAGATTCAAGTGCTAAAAAGCTCGAGTGGTTCTAACGGCTCCAGGAAAAGAGAAGCGGAAGACAAATTTTCCCATGCTTGCCCCAGTTCTCGGCTTGGTGTCGACAATAAAGGACTTGAGTGCAGTGAATCGGAAATATGTCCTAGCTTCCCAGATCCTGAAACCACAAATATAAATGTAGACGCACTAACTACAAGTAATTGCAAAAGGCTGTCAGCTGTGTCAGACGATCCTGAATCTGCTCTGCCGCCTAAAACAATAAGAGCCTGGCTCAAGGATCCACGTCTTTATATGGTGATTATAGTCTTTAAATTTTTTTACCCTTAATTTCATTTAGTATGTGAATTAGTTTTTGGTACTTTATTTGCTTTTATATAATGTTCGCTTATTGCAATGCGCAAGTGATCGTATATCCATGAAGCCTGGCATGCGCAAGGTAGATATATATGCAATTTTATTTATTTATTTGTTTATTTTACCCTATTGTATATTCAAGGCACAAAGCATTGTTTGGAAATTTTAAATCATCTTCAGTAACTGGTTATTTCATTTTTTCATACATTAAGGTTGCAATCATATTCACTTGTACAAAAGTCTTACAAGACGTTGCCTATGCGTACCTGCCACTGTTTCTTATTTACAGAGTTGACTTTGGAAAGGTGAGTGTACATATGTTAATGTGTTTTTCTTCAGGACTCACAGGCCATCACTATTTTGTGGCCCTGTGTCTTTTTATGCAATCTCTGTGGAAAATATCCATGTCATGTTGACTATATTAAAGTGCTATACGTTTTAATGGTTTAATCCTTATTATATTATTCTTATTATGAGTGCATTGGCGGGTACATTATTACCTAGTAATCAATAATAGTGCTGCAAGCATTTGGTTAAAACGCCGAAGTACTTAATATGCCTGGCCTGCCTTGCGGAACGGAAGGCCCCGAGTTCGATTCCCAGCTGTAACCTCAAATCCTTTTTTCGACTTCTTCCCTTTTTAATTTCCGTGTCGCTTTAGAGGCTGTAAATAGCCAGCAAAACGGAGCACCGGTGGAGGGAAGGAAGGCGAAGTAAGCGCACGGGCGGACTTGTCTCAGGTTTCAAGCCACCGGCGTAAGATAAGAAATCTGATTGTCAAAATTAGCTGCAGTAGGACAATCTTTATGTTATCGATCATTCACGTTGCCTTTTCAGGATGCGATTGCATATCTGCCACTTGTGATGTTGATCAGCGCTACAGTGTCCTCAGGAATCTCAAAGAAACTTGTTAAAATAATAGGAAACAAGGTTAGACCAGTCCTCCGTATCAATGTGTTTTACTGCTAAAAAAAATAGAAATCAATAGAGGTTGGGATATGTATGTAAAATGGGAAGGGGTCCAGGGGGAGGAAACGCGTGGAGGCGGGGGGGGACGGGAGGGGGGCAGGGTTAAGGAGAGCACTTTTCCTAGAACCGGAATGAGGAGGGGGGGGGGGGGAGGCTTCTGTGGAAAAATGGTACCCTTTTCATATATCTAGTTTAGAACACTGCATTTCCATTATCTGCTGCAAATGCACCGTCTTCTTAAATAAACCAGGAAGTTCCTAGTCTTTCACAGCCATGAGACGCGTCAGTGAGCTTTTATAGGTCCTTAGTTTAGAAACTGAAATGACAGATTGCCCTACCCTTTCATATACAACAACTTGTAAAATCCCTACCCTTTCATTACAGTGCCGGATCCAGACAGAAGAGATAAGAGGGAGCCGGGAGGAGGGAACTGGGGGGGCTGTCATCCAGATTCTTAGAAAAGGGGAAAAGGGGGGACCCGGTCAACAAAAAAATTTTTTTCGGCCCTTTGCACCTTAGTTTGGTCTAAAAATAGGACGGTGGGGGGGAGTGGGGGGCTCTCCAGGATCCGCCTTTGCAGCTACTGCTTTGACCCGAAATCTTCTCGTATAGACTATTAGAGGGAGTTTCCCCGGGTTCCTAGATTGTTGGCACAATATCGCAACAACACTTTACGAGCCTAAAAGCACTCGACCCTCGTCATCATGTACAGGCACGTGGAAAACACTTACTCTTCGTAAGAAGTACCTGTGTGTCCTGTCCTTTGCCACGTCGGAATCGCGTTGTTAAAAATTCCCTTGTGTTGACACAACGCACTAATGCGCAATATTTTTTTTCCTTTAATATGGACAAGAAGCCTTCTATGTTTCGACATAATGCCATCCTTAACCAAGAGAAAATAATTAGAGAGGGAGTCTAGTAGAGACCTTGGCGGGGATACCTTAATTTCGAAAGAGTTATTTTTAGTAATTATATGCGGACCATGCGAAACAATCCGTTGATCTCGTTGATGTCAATAAGACTCGCTTTCATAAAACAGAACGCTCAAGCGAGGCGGAGACAACAAATGGAGAAAATGGTGGCCTATGATCTCTGGCTTTAACATATAAACGGAGATGTATATCTCTGTTGTGCAGAGTTTTTATTTGTTATCATAACGACAGTCCCTTAAATAAGAAGGGGGTAGTTTAACTTACTATTAATTGATTTTCTTTCTCCTCAGAATTTGCTTACTCTATCTGCCTTATTCGTGATCGGAGCTGGTGTATGGTTTTATTTCATAACCCAGTCCAACAAAGTGATGACGTATCCTGCAGTTGTTTTGTTAGGATCTGGGTTTTCCATAATGTTTGTTACTGCCCTTAGCTTTGCAGCAGAACTTATTGGGGACAACAAGGTGAGCTTATCACGTGCCTCAACATTATAACGCCAAAGTTACAAGTTCAAATAGAGCCTACTTAGTAATGCTTCCATCAGACTATAGCTGTTTTAAAAAACGCGGATAGTGCTATCCACCGAATAAATCTCTATCCCCTGGTTTAAGTGCAATAGGCCATTTCCGAGTTCCAAAAAATCTCAGTTTCAAAACGAGGCTAAGTGCGAAACCTTTGTTGTGAAAATGAGTTTTATTTGCATCATAATTAAAAATCATTTCATATCGATAGCTTCGCACTTAGCCTCGCTTTGAAACTGAGATTTTTGGAACTCGGAAATGGCCTTTTGGTTTTCCTAATAAATGTGGCCAAAAAATAAACTACCATTCAGTAGGTAGGCTCAAAGTTTTTCAAAAGGTGGAGAGTGCTTAATTCCACCGAATAAATCTCTATCCAGTGGATAACGCAATTGGTTTCCCTAATACTTCTCTGCTTGATAGCGATTTATCCAGTGGATAGCGTTATCCAGCGTTTGAACAACCGGGGCTTAGTACCTAAGAGTCGACCATTCAAACGGCGTAATAAATAGTATTGTAAAGTGACGTGCTATAAATACATTCGACACCCGATGATTCGAACCTCGCGCTAACTCGAACCAAAATCGATTTGAGGAACGTCAGATTTAGGTTCTTAAGTTGTGAATTCCAAGAAAATTTTCAGCGCCTGTCCTTCGCTTTATCAGCAAATTTTTGGATGTCTGAATTTCATTTAAAAAACCTCTTTTTAGGTCTTCACATTACTACTTGAGAAATTTTGAATTTGCAGGGCACATCTGGCGTCGTGTTTGCTTTTATGGGTTTGATGGCAAGTGTGACTGGAGGTTCATTGTTCGGTATTATTCAGAAACTATTCCCCCAAGAAAGGTAACTTAATATTAAAAAAGCTATTAATTAGTAATAATATAACCAATAATATAAGTGTGGGTGATAACGGTCCAAGGTCAAAACGCTCTTGATCCCAACCCCAAACGCGCTTGATCGGCTTGCGTTCTGTGCATTACATTCATTCTTTGTGGAAGTTCAAACGAAGAAGCTGACTACACAGGTGCCGTACACGTGTTATAGCAACCGGGAGATTTAGGATTGAAGGTTCCTCTTGTCGCCCTCCTTGGTATTGCGCTGCGCAACCTTACTGTGTATAATTTCATGCGTAATAGACCCCTTTAGCTTGTTTGTTTTGTTTACCCAATAGAGGTCCCAAGGGAACTTCACCCTTGGTCTTTTCATAATTTATGCCTACATATGCACGCGTGAATAAGACGAAAAAAAAATTCTCTGGTAGAGTATTACCACTTGACCTGTATTGGAAAAACAAAAAATACCAGCTAAGGAGATCTATTAGCGCGCGCAAACTAAAACATGGCAGCTTCTGCCTCAAGCTGGAGCTTTTGTGTTTTTTTTATTTTGTTTTGTTTTTGTTTTTTTTTTTCACAGCTACAAAATGCATCTGTTAGCCCTTCTGGATCTTTATACAGACCGAAATGTCAGATTTCCCTTCCGATGTACTTCAGCTAGTAAGATCCCCACCCTTCCATTCGGACGGAGCCTTCCCGTATAGTTTACCCACCCCCACCCCCTGTACAATTATTTCCTTACCAAGTATGACTAAGAGAAAGCAGAGATTAAGTTTTTTGTCGATATACGATACAAGCAAGCAGTTGGTTTTCGGCATTTTCATTTCAGCAACTCTGAAGACTGTAAAGACTGTGGGGATTATGTCCGTCACGTTTTTTCATTCGTACCAGGAATTCTCGCTGCCATCTGTGTTCTAACTGTTCTCCTGCTTCAAGTTTCACAAACAGTAAAGAATCAAAATGGTGAGTGTCAGGTCTGTCTGCCAGCATTAGGGCATGTAAATGTACTCGCCTCGCCATGATCAGTGAAATGGCTGAAACAGTTTTAACGGTTTGTTAAGGACATTTTGTTGATAAGAAAATGCGCGTAGTGCCAAGATGACGTTTTTCAAGGCTGAAGAGCCAAGCTGGGACGATCGGTGACCTAAGTTCCCAGGGGGAGAGAGGGGCCATGCCATATATGGGCTGTATAGGTATGTGCCGCTCTGAAGGGTATGGTTTTCAAGCAGTTTACTCTGGGATAGGGTATATAAATTAAAGAGTTTGGGTCTAGAATAGGGAGGGTATCATTTTCCTGGAAACTGTACCAATTTGTTGAACATTTTAGTCTCAAAAATATAAAAAGATCAAATCGGCAAGTTTAGATTTACGCAACTCAGCCTAAATGCTACTCTAGGTCAGGGAGCGATTTGGGGAGTTTAGTCTAATATAGGGTAGCAAAATTCAGCTTAACTAGCTCTGGTATAGGCTAAGGGTTCCAGGGTCCCAGCGGCGCATCCTCGCCCAAAAATTCCTCAAGAACCCCCTCCTCTCCCCGCCCCTCCAGGCTTGAGTTGTTAACCTGTTAAATCGTGAAATTCCGTGAGCTTCGTATTTCTCCAGCTCATTCTGTATCTATTACATTCTTTGCAAATGTTGTTGAGATATTAATGCTTCGTCCTAAGATGTGTTTCATGACGGTGATGCGTACCTATATTGCAGTGCCCAAGATGGAAACCGAAAATGAGACAGTCACAGACACACGCTTTTAGAATTTAGCCTTGAAGAACCTGAGGCTACCTTAGCTTCTTATAGTTAGGTAATATATTGTAAAGCCTGGAAAAAGATCTTTTCAATGGTAATTTGCACATGATGACATTTTACCACATCTATCAGAATCCTATTGTTTCAGTTTATTTAACCGCTAGTACGTCCTCGGAGACCCAGGGGCTGTCAGTCGGGTCGTGATAAAAGGCGGCGAAAGTTTTCAAGAACGGGAGAGAGAGTCCCTGGGATGCTACTCTTAACAAACCAGTTCCACGACTCATTCGAATGCTTGTCTCTGACTGGGTACAAAATAATCGGAGGCCAGTATCTATCGCGCTGCTTTCGTGATCCTCTTATACGAAGGACCTGTGTGGCTCGTGCAGGAGAGCTGTCGAAACTTATCTTAACTCTACTTACTGATTTAAGTCATTAAAACATTTGCGCTAGAAATTGTGTGCGTGCCTGTTTACGCCTGCTCAGCATACTTGTCATACAAGTGCAAGAGAAAATTCTTCGCTCTTTAAAGTTGTAGTTTTGTTGTTAAATATTTCTCCTCAGTAACACAACAGTTTCGAACGAAACTGGTAGGGTAATCTTGCGGAGTTGCGTGAACAAGCCTACAATAACTCTGGTTTTTACAAATTAACCTTCACTCACATTACACTTCTTCGTGAATAAAAAAATGTTGTCCTTTTAAATGTTTCATTGAATTAAAATATATAATTTCTTGTCCTGATCATGATCGTTTGTCAAGATCTCTTTCTTATCGCTTTGCGGGTTGTGGTTTTCAGCCGTCCGTGAACTCGCATGCGGAAGTATTTAATATTAAAATGCCGCGTGTATCAAGTGAATCTGATGGTGTTTTAGCAGTATGAATGCGAACGAAAATGATTCTGAGACGTCTTCCTCATTACTAGTGGTCATTCAAATACGACAGCTCGCACTGTAAGTTTGGGGCTTGAATATCTCATCGGATCTTAAGCTAAGATCACTGATACAATTCTTGAAAAGTGATGACCTCTGACCCGAAATCAAATATTAAGCTTCGAATATGTAGAAATTCGCCTCAATCTCGGCAAGTCGTCGATCTTCAACATTTTGCTGAAAACCTGTTCCTAAGTTTTCGACTTTTAATTATCCTATAACATTATTTTAAGCTGCATTTGATTAAAAACAGTATGAATCGCGTATCTTACTTGTGATATTCAAATCAGCTACGAAATGGTATCTAATGCGCATATACATCAGCTGACTGTGTCCCTTTGATAAATTAAATATCGTGTGGGAGTTTACATTAATTATTGCCTCATCGAATAAACGCCGGACTAATAATCATTCTTCTCTGTCCCCTGCAACTTGTTCAAAGGATTGATACTCCTTATAATCCACCAGATAAATCACTATCCAGATGAAAAGTATTCGGGAGACCAATTGCGTTATCCAGTAGACAGTGATTTATTCGGTGGAAAAGTGATAATTCGACCTTGTTTTTAACAAGCTGTTAGTAGCCGGATCCGTTAATGTTCTAAATATACTGCTTTGAAAAACACGTACTCAGTTGTTCAACGCTAATCCATTTTATAAATAACCTTCCAGTGGAAAGTCCTAGAAAAACCTGAGTCCTTGGAGGCCATGGGGAAAAGAGAAAAACTCAGCGAGCGAAGCCAATCAAGCGAGGACGTGAGCTCTCACATTTCCCTCGCCGTGTCTGCTTTTTTTAGCCCCTTTCCCCAAAATGGAGGGAGAGCCTCTCACAGGATAATAAACATATGTGGCCTACCATAACTCTATTTAACGCCCATCTCGATTAAACGCCGTGGATGGAAGGAAATATACTAATAAATATCGATCGCTCTCGAATAAACACCGCACCCAGGCGAAGCAGCGCGCCCGTTGTTGAAATCCTAATTTTTTTGATTCGAAGAGTGATTTTATCGGCACGGACGTTATTATGGCTGGTTCTATTAAAAGAAAGTCATGGCTTATTCAGGGTTTCTAACAGTAGCTTTAGTTCTTAACAACAAGCTCTGGGGCGTAAATAATTGTTTAAAACCGCAATACCGCAAACCCCTAGCCTGTCTAGAGTTCCCGTTTCTCGCCGGAAAGATCCGGTAATTTTCGAGCCCAGAAAGCTGCGTTACATCTGCCGTATTTGCATTCTGAAGATCAAAGTTTCAACAATTTTGGAAATAATACGAAGAAACTATCACTTAACGAAGCAAAATTGATTGGTTTGTAAGCTACCGGAACTGTGCTACTATTCAACAATTTCCTACTTTTTCTCACCACTGAGTTGTATGCATGATAAATTTACGGGGGCGGTTATACAGGAAATGTTACCTTTCGGTTTGTTTTGTTTTGCTAGAAGCAAAATTATATTATGGGGTATCTTCGGTTTTGTGGCCCCATTTGTACTGAAAAAACTTCTCGAAGAAAGCTCTCCTACACTACCCAGTCAGGTACAGTAATCTACGGCGAACAGTCGAGTTTGCAGGTAAACGCCTTCGTATAGGCGAATCTTTGTTTACACTTTTTGCCTCATTAACATATGCTTATGACTGTCTGATGACGCTAATAAAATCAAAACTCTGAATATTGAAAGGGCATAACAGTTTCAGTTATGCCTGAAAATTTGAGCCCAATACCCTGAATGGTTTCGGAGAAATTATCTTCTAAAAACTCGAAATTTTAAAGAGAATGTATGGCTAATTAACTTTTTTGCCACACAGCAATTTCGCAGTTTTTGATGGCTGATATTTCGTTCAATATTGCTCGCAAAGAGCTGAAAATTGCACAAATTGCCCAATTTTATCAGCTCTTTCGACTTTCGCATTTATTTCGTATATACGGCCAAGGCTTCTGTGAGTTAAGTCGTATGCTAATGAGGAAAAATGTAAACAATGACGTCAGCAAAGATTCGCCTATAAAGCAGCTTCCAATACACCTAGAAAACCGCTTCAATCTTCGCTTCGATCTTCGACATTGTACTGAAAACCTGTTCCTTAGTATTGTTTTAGTCATCCTATAACATTATTTATGTCTTATTTAATAATAATCATGACAATATTAATAATAGTAATAATAATAATAATAACAATAATAATAATAATAATAATAATAATAATAAAACAGTACGAATCACGTATCTTAATTGTGTTATATATACGCAAATCAGCTGAAAACGGTATCTAATGAGCATATGACTGTGAGATATGAATCAGCTGCTGACTGTGTCCCTTTGATGATCTTGCACCAAGTTTACACGATTATTTGACTCAGCGAATAAACGCCGCACTAATAATCATCCTTCTCTGTCCCCTTGTTCAAATTAGGGATACTCCTTATCCACCAGATAAACCACCATCCAGAGGAAAAGTATTGAGGAAACCGATTGCGTTATTCAGTAGACAGTGATTTGTTTGGTGGAAAAGTACTATCTACCTATTTAACAACAGGTGCCTGCCTGGTTGTGGCTTTTATTGGAGAGCAATCAATATTAAAAATTGCTTCTATCTGCGGCGCTTCATCGAGTGGGGCGTTAAATCGAGTTAAGTATTTACAAATATTTGGGTTCCATCCTGTGAACTCAAGTCAGAGGCTCTCGTTTTTGGGGAAGGGGGCTAAAAAAAGCAGAGACCTGCATCTAGGGACGGGAAGGCTCAAGTCCTCACTTGATTGGTTTCCCTAGCCGAGTTTTTACCTTCTTCCCACAAAGGAGTCTGGTTTTCCTTTGACTTATCCACTGGAAAGTCATTCATGAAATGGAGAGGGTTGAACAACTGAGTACGTGTTTTTTAAAACAGGGTGTTTAAAACCGTTGAGAACATCGGCTCAACGTGATTAAGAACATCCACCACTTCATTGACATCCTAATTGTTTTGACTGGAAGAGTGATTTTAATATCAGCACAGCCGTTAGTAGGACTGGTTTTCAGAATTGAAAGAAAGTCATTGCCTAGTCACGTTTTCTAACAACAGCAAACCCAGTGGGTTGTAAATATTTGTTTAAAACCACAGACCGCAAACCCTTAGCCTGCGGCCAGGGCCCGTTCTCGAAAGATCCGATAATTTTTCGGGCTCGGAAAGCTGCGTCACATCTGCTGTGTTTGCATTCAAGATTAAAGTTTCAACAATTTTGGAAATAATACGAAGAAACTATCACTTAACTAAGCAAAATTGACTGGTTTGTAAGCTAAGAACTGTGCTACTATTCAACAGGTTACCGGCCGGCTAGG